TATTGGTTATGTTGATTTACAATCTTTTGTCGCCTTGCAGGTATTTTTAGAATCCCTCTAACGTGTCGTTTGATGATCTCTTCGTTATAAAAGTCGCCTCCATTTAAGAATTTTCTAAACACCGAAGAAAATCTGAGTGCTATGTCGAGTATTACGGTACGGTCATCCGTACCGCAATCGTATTCGACATTTGTCACCTCATGTTGACACCATATCAAAATAGCATAGTTTTTGACGGCGGATTGATCAGTTCAACGCAATTTGCATGAATTGTAAGTGAAAAATTATTATTAATAATAATAATAATAAAGAAATTAACCGCTTATTACATAAAATACATTTGGCTACAAACAACTACTACAAACTTAAAGCCCGCCAAACTGCAGAGCAGTTTATTGGCGGAGACACACTCTCATCATAAGCAATACACCCACATATAATATATGCCTACCTTACCTATCGTACGTGATAAAATACACTCACATAGATATATCAAAATCAATAGTACAAAGCTTAGACATTTGAGATTTGTGATAACAATTTCTTTTTCGCTTTCTTTTTAAATGTTAATTTAGATAAATTATTTTATTCAACATTCAGATCATGACATATGACAGGTATTAAATAATTTCGAGTTCTTTGACCAAAGTGATTTATATTTCTTTGTTACGATATATTCTTTATTTCTTAAACTCACCCGTTCTGCATTCCTCCAAAGCTAATAATAGTTTGAATTACTCTTGAACTGGCAATACATTACAAATCGAGAACAATGTCACATAGCTTTTGTCACATTTTTCCTTTACATTTTTATCCACCAACAATTTCTAGTACTTTATTTGTTGTGGTTTAATTTGTTTTATAAAATATGTAATCGTACGCCCATAACTACTAACTTTTTTTATCTATTTTCGCGTATCGTTGCGAAAATAGAAAAAGTAAATTATTTTTAAAGTGACCAATTCAATAATAATATGTTTTAAATGAAAACGAAAAATCTTTTTTTTGTTTAAGGTTACCTAATGACAAAAACTTTTTGATCAATCCATCATATTATGATTTTATAAAAGTCAAAGAGCGTAGTTCAGCAATGAAGTACGGACAATGATCTGCTGTGGTACCAGCGTGTAGTCCATTTTTTAAATCAGCTGTAACGTGTCAGAACGCAATAAAATCAACACGTATTGGAAACACGCCTTCCAGCGAGTCGTGTGCGCTCGTGCGATTGCAATCTATGCATATATTATTTGTTGAAAGTAGTTCGGACATTCATTTTGTTGAGCTTGCAATTTCTACATACCGACGTACATAGAAGTACTTCGAATGAATATTTGTTTAGCTTTTTACTGTAAATGTGATTTTGTCGACGGAGAAATGATAAAATATCGTCTTCAACAAATCCTTTGGAGCCGTAAGTTTCATACACATTTCGAAACCGATTCTCTTGATTACATTGTTTTCACGTTTGAAAATTAATTTTCAATTGTCACGCACACGCACACGCACATACATACACACACACACACACACACACACACACACACACACACACACACACACGCACTCGCGCACGCACGCACACGCACACACGCACACACAAGCGCGTTCTGATAGTGATAATGTGCCAGGCAAATAACTACATAATAGTCTAAATACATAAATACCTACAGTTATAAATACATTCACTTCTTACATACATCTTTATTTATTTATTTAATCTTTTTGCACAATACAACAATGTACAAATGGCGGACTTAATGCCATACGGCCTTCTCTATCAGTCAACCATTGGGCCAAACAGAAAAGAAACAAAAGGTTGGTGCTACATTTAAAACAGTAAAGAAAGGAAAATATCTTAAGCCAACATTTTATGGTTCAATTATACGGTATAAAATAAACACATACAGCATAAAGATTCTATGGATGTATACATATACATATATATCCAATTGTAGATTAGATACAGAAAAATATAACCTACATTCTCTCCGATTGGATAGGATATAGGTTATATTTTTCTGTATCTAATGGAGCAATAAACATGTTTGATGTAATAATTTCACTTATGCTATTCTTCTATTAGGGAAGTGATATGTACATTATATTAAAGTTACATGTACACGAGGCCTTATGAGTTTAACCTCTATAATTTCTTTCTAATTCAGGCCTTATGATTGTGCACATTAAAATTTTTAACTGTGTAAATTATTAAGGGATCCATAATTCCTAGTATGTTATTTACTTCCCTATTTAAAAATTAATGAAACATTTTTCATTTAACTACCGTCTCTTTACCCTTACGTTCATAGTTTGAATAGAAGTTTGCCGTTGCTGTTAAATATTTAATTTAGTTCGTAACTATAGACGAACAGGCACACAACAAGAGCAAATCAAAATATAAGGTGCTTAATTATAACAATGCGTATTTAAGTGACAAATTGTATTTTGCTTTATTTCCTCATTAAATTTTTTTTCTTTTAAGCGGGAAAAGAAAATGTTATAAAATAGTTACTTAAAAAAAGTCTACCAACACTGATTTATAAGCACTTTTCCTATTATTATCATTATTACTAACAAATTATGGGACTCATTGCCTGAAATAAAAGAATTTTATTTTATTTTAATTTTTTATTTAAACACTCTTGTCGGGAAAGTACACAAAACCTTTCTGTTAGTTTCCGCCAAACAGTAATATGAGTACGGCCTTCCAATTTTGAAGTGTAAGGGTGCTGGTGAAAGTACAGGCGCATGATACTTGTCAACTTATCCCACAGGGTGACGGGCATAGAAACAGTGCTCATCACATCTTTGCGATTTAAAGCTCTGAGAAGAACGGAAACTGTTATGAACAGGCATGTCGCTTACCGCCCGGCGAACGACTTGTTTTCCCGTTACTTGATATCATAAAAAAACTATACGTAAACGTAAAAAGCGGAATACGAATCGAAGTACATTGAAGAAATAATGTGACTGAGGTGAACGAGAAGGTACCTACATATAATATTGGGCGAGGAGAGCACTGAGTGGGCGTTTCATTGACTCATAAAGAGGTTTGCAACTGCGGTTGTATTTTTATGCGATAGGTTATTTAAATTATAATATTATGATATAATATTAATATTATTATTTTAAGCTGTTGATGTTCCTTTAAGATAAATAAATAATTTATTTATACTAATTAATCAATAATTTATTTATACTATCGAGTTCTTAGGTTTCGCAATTGTTACACATAGGAAATGAAACTATTTTTCCGGATTTAAATCGCTTATTTATACTATTTAATTTATTTAATGCCAATAATATATAGGGTATTAAAAAACTACTAAATACTAAAATTACTAAAAAGTACAGTTCTGGGAAGTGCCTTGATTGAATTCCGGTGCTCTGATACTCACAGTACCTACAGGTAATCCCCTAGTTTGAAACCAGGCAATCGATGTGTTTGTGTGGCATATTAAAAAAACATATTTTAAAGCTTGCACTATGATAGATGTTAATTATCATGTGTTTTTTTTATATTTATCAAATCAATAAGTTTGTGTTAAGTGTTATATTTGAATGATTTTAATTTTTGTCTGCTCTATTGTCACGTTGCTACTACGCAACTTGTAACTTGGCAACCCGGCTGAACTTCACGAGTTCTTTTGGAAATAAGACTAAATGAATTTATTTCTTTTCATATCAACTTCACGCGGCGTATTAATGACAATTTCTTTTATAATATCAAGTAACGGGACGAACAAGTCGTGCGCCTGATGGTAAGCTACATGCCTGTCCATAACAGATGCAGCCACTGCGCCCGTCAACCTGAGACATAAGTTGACAATTCCCACGTTCCTGTAATTTCACCCTTCAAAACCGGAATACAGTAATGCCGAACGTTACCGCTTGGCGGCAGAATAGGTGAGGTGGCAGTACTTCACTGGACGAACTCTTTCACAAGGTGCTCTACTGCTACTAGTCATCGTTCAGCGAATAACAACGAAAGTTTTAAAATTTGTTTACTTTTATTATCAATCGCTAAAAGTATCATAGTGCAATTGATAGGCATGCTGTATTTTTCTAAAGATTAGATACAACGTTAAGCCTGTATCTACGCCAATTTTACTTTCCACGAAATTTATTTGTATAAAGAAAAAATACCGCTATATTGAACCTTATTCAAAATTTGCTTACAAAACTGGGATCTGTCTCAGGCGTAGCACTGCAAAACCATTCAAAATAAACTAAAAAATCAGTCAGATCAATAAGCAGTCGCAATGACCCATATAAAGGGAACGATGACGGCAACTAAAAACATTCAGAAGCCAAATGCAATGACTTTGAGCATTGAAGTCACGCGATCCTTTGCAAGCTCGCCTGCTTACTATTTCTCTAGATATAGAAAAATGTAGAATTGACTTAAATTTTGTATTTGATATTGATTTTTAAATCGAGCTAGAAATAATGGGTATGCACTTGAGGAAGGGGAGCGCACTGCATTTTCTCTTTGCGGTAAATACAACTACGTTGTTTGCATTTCATTTATGAAAATAGAAAGTACTTAGGTATTATCAAATAAGGTCATTTCTATTCCTAGATTGAATGACATATAAAAGAAGCGACATCTCTTTGTAAAACAGAATGCAAACTGAAACATATTTCGTTGATTTCAAAATTCTTGACATATATCTTAGTCTACTATATGTATACTAGAGCAACACAATAAAAAAGTAACAAGCTTTTACGCGGATATTACTAACATAGGAAAAATAACTCTAGTATCTAAAGTGACAGGGGTCAACATAACAATGACACTTCCTTTGTCTTGCTAAACAAACACACTTTTACCAGTCACTTCTAAACCACGCAAATTCACAAAAGCAATTCCTTGGTCGCTATAACGACGAACAGCCCCACTGTTTACGAGCCGAAGTCTACACGAGGAACAGTAACGCACCACCTTCGAACTCGTACACCCACCTCCCTTACCGGCTCGAAAATTTAAATCCCAAGCCGCAAATACAAAAATATAATTAAAACTTTAAAGACTATTATAGACGTGGAATTAATTTGTTTGTTGTAAAGTGTTGCCATTTTCGAAATTTGTCGCATTTATTATTAAAACTTGTGTTACCAGTTTTCGTGAATTCAAAATGATTCGAGTGTTTGTGTTGCTATTTTCGATATATCTGGCTCTATCGGCAAGGGAACCAAAGCAAATAAACATTGCTAACCAAGGGACGATTAATGGAATGTATATAACGCGATTCAGAACGAAAAGAATTGCTGCATATCTTGGTATTCCTTACGCACAACCGCCTATAGATTTTAGAAGGTTCGCTCCTCCAGAAATTAATGATTTGCCTCAATGGGATGGTGTAAGAAATGCAACTCTATATGCACCTGATTGTATGCAGAGCGACCCAAAAAGGGAAGATATTCAAAATCCTCTGAATAAACACGACGAACTCTTTATGAAATTATTGGATTCTCAACTTGATGAGCCAAGGAAGAAGGAATACTCGGAAGATTGCTTGTATCTCAACGTCTATGTTCCAGATGGTATGGTTTTGATATTCTAAATATAGACTAGTCTAGAGAAACTTAGATCACTTTAATCCTCCCAGCTACTACCTTTCCTTATATCTAATATACCTTATTTCTATTGTCATTAAATAGAAATTGTAAAGGAGTAAAGTTAAAATCGTATTTAAAACCAAATAAAACTACTAGTCCAGGATAGTATTCCGTTTTTGTTGTAGAATAAACTTTCCTATTAAATTTTGTTTTAGTTCATCTATCTATTTTCATTGCAGCCTTTGCAAATCTGTCAGAAATCTAAAACCACTATTTCTTAACTAATTTTCTTCATTATTTCTTTCTTGTAAAATGAAGAATGTAAAACCTCATTTAAAATATTGTTCACGTTCCTTCTGCAAATTGCCTGTACATTGCTTTTACCAAGGGGATAGGCACTATATGTTGAGATACAAGATTTCCTAGTTCGACTGTAGTGGCTTCATTTAATTGAAGAGTACATTCAGCAGCTTATTATTGTACTTTTGTTTGTTTAGCTTAGCATTGTAATGATGTACATTTTTCACTGTTTAAAAACCTCCTTCCGACGGCCAGTTCCGTAATTACTGAATAAATATTATTATTATTATTATTATTATTAATATTATTATTATTATTATTATTACGTTATGTATTGATGAAATAAGGGTAAAATTTATCAAACCCATTACATTGAAACAGGATAGTTTATATTATTCACTTTTCTATAAATACTTAACGGTGTTTTAACACTTTGAAAGCTAGTTTCACAAGAAGAAGAAGAGTTTAGACAAGAAGTGAACAAAATGAGAACTCATAATCTCAATACAGAGTACTAAGGCTCAACTCATACTGGCGCAGAGTCGAAGCGTCGCGTCACGTCCTGTTTTTCAACTACAACGCCTGGCGACGCGCGACGACACTCGCATTAGTGCGCCCGGATCACAGTGTGGTCGGCGCCAGACGCCTCACTGCGCTCAAGTAACGCGCGTCGACGCTTAACTCCATATTTGCATAACACAAATTTGTACCTTAATCATGGGAAAATAGAGAAGAATATGCTATAGGCGAAAAACATGACGCGTCGCGACGCTTCGACTCTGCGCCAGTGTGAGTTGAGCCTAAAGTCACCGATCTCAAAAGTCATTCATCCCCCAGTTTGCCACTATTAGAGGTGGAATATTTTCTTCAAATTTTAATAAAACCACCATTGCTACCCAAATTCCAACTAAAAAAGAATCATCAAAATCGGTTCACAAATTAATCAAAATAATAGCCGGAGTTATCGTCTAACATACATAAAAAACGCATACAGTCGAATTGAGAACCACTTCCTTTTTTGAAGTCGGTTAAAAATAAAGTCTTCGTTTATCCAGCGCCCTATCTACATAATATCGTACCCTTGATATAATAAAGGGAAATGTGATCACACGTCAAAAGTGTTTTTATCACACAAATTACATGGAACACAATATGTATATGTGAAATTTTATTACACTTCTATTTAAGCAAAATTATCAAGTTATTGTTTTCGTGGAAACTTTAAGCCTTTCTCCTGAAAAGTTGTAATTTTGTAAATGAGGATGAGATAATGCAGATATCATATCAGTATTTAAGTCGGCACTCGACCTATTTTTTCCAATAGTAATTCTATCTAGTTTGGTCACAATTATGAGGGTCTTAATTCTCCCACCGGAGAACAGAAGCAATTTAGAAATATTTGTTACCTAAATTGGTTCTACAGGAAACGGGACTTGTAAATCCTCATCTAGCTCAGTAGAAGAGTTAACCGCAGTGTCACCGAGGTCGATATTAGAAATTCTATCACGAAATAGGAACCCTAATTGAAAATCAGAACCTTTGAGCCACGCAATAGTTCCCCAATGCTAAATACTTTACAAACACGCCGTTCTAAACCAACAAACCTTAACTAGTTTTATCACTGAATGCAATGGAAACTCGGATCACATGGATTCGTTTATATTCAATTTACATACTAAATTTCCTACCTGCCCTGATAAGTTTTTGCCAATTTTATAACAGGGTCTATGAAATATTTCAAGCTACAAATTGATGTAATAAAATAGAAGACCATTTTCATTTACAATTTTCCCTATTCTTACTTACTTTAAGAGTCAATTTGAAATTAAAATGTGTCACTTAATTACAACTGTGACTTTTGACGACCTCGGTGGCCCAGCGGTTAGCACTGTTGGCACTAGACTTGGTGTTCCCGGGTTCGATTCCCAGAAAGACAATGAACTTTTCTAAATTGGCTCTGGTCTGGGTACTCACAGTACAGGGATTGCCTAGTCAGAGATCAGGCAATTGGCGTGGTTGTTTAATAAAAAAATAAAAAATTCTGGTCGTGGAAAATAATTATAAAATAAATTTAAAAAGAAACTGGCTGGAGTATGTGTACATTTTCAGTTTTTTCACATTGTTAACTTCTTGTTCAACTTTCAAATTATGGTGACATTTATCAAGATTTTGTATTAGTAATTTAAAGTAGAACAATACACTCCCGGATACATATTTCGAGCCACCTTGCATTTTTAGTATTAAATGCCCTAAGTTTAAAAAATATGTTTGATTGATCAAAAATTATTAATGCAATTTTGATTACTAAACGTCATTTCCGTATGTCCTTGTTGAAAATTTGATTTTGTGAAACCAGGGAAAAACGAGTTTAATGGTCGTATTCCAGAACTCTACTCAATGCTCAAGTCAGATTTGAGTATGGTTTAAAGCACTCGAAATTATACTCAAGTCCCTACTTTACGTCATATACATAAGTAATACTTAACGTCAAAATGAAGTGCTGTGGCATGTTCTCCCATTCTTCCTCAATGGCAACTTTCAACTCCGGTAAGGTTTGCGGGGCTGGGTGGTGAGCTCGAACATGCCTCTTTAGCTCGTCCCATAAATGTTCTATTGGGTTCATATCCGGACTTCGTGCTGGCCATTGCATGGTAGTAATACCGACGTCATGAAGGTATTCCGTGACGACTCTTGCAGTATATGCGCTCTTGCGTTATCATGCATGAGAATAAAACCTCGGCCTACAAAGTCAGCATATTTAGGCATTACATGAATTTCGAGGCACTGGCAAATGTATCTGTGGCAGCCGCGGCCCCGTCACAACCTCAAGCGCAGTTTTGCCTTCGGTGGACATTCCTCCCCAGACTGTCCATGAAACCCCGCCACAGCTCACATTCTCTTCAATACAACACTGCACAAAACGCTCTCCTTGTCTTCGGTAGACCTTGTTCCTTCCATCATTACCATAGACCATAATCTTAGTTTCATCAGTGAAGAGTACTTGGCTCCACAGACGTGGAATCCAATACAAATTCTAGTACAAATCTGTAAGTTCTAGTGCAAATTGGAGTCGCGGCATTCGATGAGCTCGTGTCAATTTGGGCCCGTTCACTGGCTTATGTGGAGTTAGACCACGTTCCTTAAGTCTCCTTCTCACAGTTCTAGCGCAAACAGCCACTCCATGAAAGTCTCGAAGCTGTTCTTGGATCTGTACCGAAGTCAGTTGACGATTTGGTGAGCTCGCCGTGAAGATAAATCGATCTTGCCTTTTCGTTGTCACTCTAAATCGTGGTCTTCCTTGACGGCAAACATAGCCACCAGTCTCTAAGTACCGATGGTTATAACCTTTCAACAGCGGAACGACTGAAATGCAGTTGTGTACTTACATTACGCTGACTAAGTCCAGACTGCAAAAGTGCCACAGCTTGTGCGGCTACTTCAGGCGCAGTGTTCATAATTCCTTCGAGAAATTTGGTTAAATTTAGAGGAAAAACAATGTAACACTAAGTTATTGTTAAATAAAACAATTAAATAAAAAAATACTGAAATTATTTAGTTTTGACTTGCACCTTACGCTCCCTTGTTTCTTTAAAAGCAATGACGAATCACAACTTTTCTCCGTTTTTCAAATTCGTAAATTCAAATTTGGAACAACGACACACCATAATAACGGTTCCCCCTGCCAGCATTAAAACTGCATAAAAACTTTTTCTTTAATAAAACAATATTTTTATATTCTAGGTCTTTCAAAATAAACATTCAAGGTGGCTCGAAAGTTGTGTCCGGGAGTGGATAACATAAAATACAGAAGACAACAACTGAAAATAAATTAATAAATACGTAGAACTCAAGATGACGTAGCTAGAATTTTGTTCCACAACCGTCGTTATACCAAATCATCTTATCCATAGCCTAAGAAAATTAGATTTTAAAGAAACCATTAATTTTATATTACAAAAAGCTGTAATTTTAATGTTGAGATGTTACAAAGTTGCAGACACAAAAGAAAGAAGCAGGCTCTTATTCTTATCAAATCATACTGCATTTATTTGATTTCGGTCCGTAAATGCAGTTAAAATGCCAAAGTGGTGAGAAAAAAAAGCAATTTATCATAATAATAATAAAAACGTGACAAAAATAATCACATTGTCGGGGAATAATTTATCTTTTAGACCATGGGAGATGCGAGAATGTGAAATAGATAACCTGCATAATAATAATGTGGTAGATAAACTGATATGAAAGAAAAGGCATTTCTTAAATTGCTACTACCAGGAAACAAGACCGGAATCTCCTCATCTCGTACCGTGCTTGCCTGCAGTTTTTTTTTTGTTAAAGGGATTTTATATTTTCGTGCAAATGCTCGTAGCGTCGTAGCCGTAGCGAAATCTGTGAGTCATAAAATAGGGATCGATTCGCGTGCTACAAGTACCTATTATATAATTATTATATAATTAAATAACTATATAATTATGTTATATATTATAATACGGTTGTATTATAATATATAAGGTGCATGCGATCACATGTCAAAAATGCTTTTATATCATGGAAGTAAAGTAGTGGTAGAGCTCCTTGTGGAAGAATTCGTCCAGGGAAGTATTGACACTTTATTTATTTCTGCCGCCAAACCGTAATGTCACATTACCGTTTGGCTAATGTTTGTTAGTTTGTTTTGAAGAGTA